AGCTCAGTGGTTTGTGCTGTTTATGCAGTGGCTCTCAACCTCATTTTCTTTGTACGTTGCTTTTGAACTGAGTAAAAAAGTAGTGGTCTAAATATGAGCACACAGCTCATGATTCCTCAAAAGTAAAAGTCTGCTCACGTTTTGTGAGGAAATACAAACTATAATGACACTTAGGATATTGTCATATTTTCCATTATTCAAAGAAGGATAAAAATGTTGTTGGACGTATTTGTGGAAACATGTCTAAGAGCCGAGCCTGTGGGTATGCGTTTCCCATGGCAGCTGGTGACTGACATTTGAGAGATATTGACACTATCAACTTTCATGATGCACTACTGGCTGGAGAGCGTTCTTCAAAACATTATACAAGAACCTTTTGCCCTTTTACAAGAAGCCCCCATGGTACTGTGCATCCTAGTGATTGAACCTGTCTGTCCACGTTCAACATGGTTCCCATTGTAGGCTGAAGTGGTTGATCTCAACAGGACACCAACCAGTTTGTTGTTTTCACTTAGTGTGGCGGAGAACATGGGTAGAAGACAATGTAGTGGCAGCATTTCCCTGGTTTCCAGCGGGTTGCCAGTTTCTGGTTGCGTTTTAGTTCCAGTAGAATCAGTGCATAAGTACCCACCACCAGTATCAGACTGAGGACTAAGATAGTGAATGAAACTACAGATAGGTGACACATATAAAAGAAAAACCAATATAAAGCATCTTAGTCAGGCCACCACAAGCCTCTAGAAGAGTCTGTGGAACTCTGTTGGTAGGATGAACACCATTCCTCTGCAAGATATCCCCTCATTTACTGTGTACATATATCACCTTTATTTAATCAGGTCATCTCATTGAGATCTATATCTGTTTTGCTGTTTGAGCACAGCCGCTAGAAAGGAAAACAAACATAGCCAGACATAGCAAAAGGACATAGAGCGTCAGAGACAGTCACAGACATCACTAAATATTTTATTCAAAACATTTTCATACTCACCCAACCATTCAGTGAGGCCTGGTGCACGGAAGCATCTACGTGTGATAAGTTTCTCCACACTTATATTATTTGAATTTGTATTAGGGTCTTTTGTCTTTTGAGTTTGTAATCTTACTTCTCTGTCTACTCTTGATGATAATAATGCCGTATGATGCTTAGGTTCATTGTCATTTGTTCATTTTGGTCTGATAGGTGAGGAACTAAAATATTAGCTGTATGTGATATAAGTGTTGGTTTGTAGGACTGTAAGGCGCCAGTCATATTTATTATCGCTCTCCACATAGTACTTTGGCAGTGGAGAAGTTGTTACCCATCATATGTGCACTATGTGTTTCTGCTGGTGTGAGCTTTGTTACAGCTTGGTTTATTTATGTTGTGCGTCCTGGGACAACTTGGTTGGCTAGTGAGCCTTCGTTTGGAGGAACATTTTGGTGTGCTTTGGTTTAGCGCCTATGTGTTAATTCCAGTTTTGCGCGTATTTGGTTACTAGAACTGATCACTGTGAGACATTTTGTTTAATTGCAGGCCACCTTGTTCATCATTTGTGATGAGCTTTGATTAGGGCTGTACATAGCGATTATTTTTCAAGTCGATTAATCTAACGGCTAATTTTGTGTGTTCTAAAAGGGAAAAAAAAGTTGCCTATTACTCGATTAACATACCAATTTATCCAAAATAAATATCATAAACATGTCTAATCAATAAATCAGTATTTTATTCACTTCCTTGTGTGACAGTGCTGCCGTCAGTGCTCCTGGATACTTTCGGTTCACATGTTCATGCTGCTTCACGTATTCGTGGACAGCAGTTGGGCCACAGTGAAGCTGACGGAGCGAGCACCACGTTGTTGAGTGTCTGTCTAAAATACTCCCAAGCTTTAGACGGTCGAAGGCGTGGTCTTGTAGCTGGAGCTTGCAGTGACGCTTTGGCGCACATAATGCGAGTCGACGTATTTACGTAATCGATGTACGTCGACGAATCGCCCTAGCCCTAGCTTTGATGCTTATCCAGACAACAGGTTTGCGTCCTCCACACTTTAATGTATAACTTCAGTAATGTTGCATCATAATTGTGACAAAGTAGAGTTGACCCAAGGGTCACAGATCTGTAAGTTCCTCTTGTTCTGTACAATAGAAGGTGATATGTAAATAGGTTCTGCTTCCTGTTCACTTGCCCTCCACTAACAGAGGTTTAGATCTGATGTCCTGAGAATACTTGTCTCTCCTGTTCACTCTCTATCACTGCAGTGGAAGCAGGAAAGATAGAGCCTGAGGTTTGGTTCTTGGCGGGACACAGGGCTGTCAGGGCATCAGGTGAGAGATTATACCAAGCCCCTCACCCCCTCACTCCTCACTTAATCAGTTCTGACACAATGCCAATTCCACAGTGGGTGGCACACACAGCTTTATTCATAGATGTGGCAGTCAGGCAGCGATCAGCTCCCAGACTCAGCTTTGTCTGCTCACCTTTCACTGTCATGCTGTATCAGGTACACGCAACAGTGGTCATTTACAGATGATGTTGTTTTTGATTTTAAGTGGTCTGGTATTTAACAGCGCTCTGAAAATCGTTTGTCAAGTGGATGGCATTTGATGGTCCATCAGGATGTCTTTCAGGGGTATTACAGCTTTTTGCCATTAAAAAGCAGGTGGCAGATGACCTGAAACTATAAGCCTCGACATACTGGGAAAACAGTGGAAAATAGGTAGAGCTGTTAACCCTGTCGTCGCTAAAATTAACTTCAATGAAACTGTGGCTGAGTGGCCTGAGGGTGTAGGCAAAACAATTTACTGAATTGAGCCAGACATAACTGAAAAATCACGTCTGCCACATGTATAGCTGCTGTATGGCTTCTATTGTTGCCTCTGAAAAGCTGAACAGGAACTGCGAAGCAATCATAAAGCATGCAGGGAAGCAATTTCTTTCTCTTATTCAAGTGAAAAATTATTCCGTGCTGTCACAAAAGACTCCCTAACAAGGTGCTTTAAACTCTCTGCCAGTGCATTGCTTCAGGGTGTCAAAGAGTGGATAAGGTATAAATGAAGCTTAAACTCAAAAGTCTGTTTCTGGTAATAGCAGCATTGCATTCCCTCTCCAATGTGCTTTTGATGTGGAGCTAAGATTAACAGTGTTAAATCGTCCTCTTCACTGTCTCAAACTAACAACACAGTCATAATGAGCAGAATGTTGACAACAAGAGTGTTTCTTTGAGGGATATGAATATTATACAGACTTATTATCTATTCTTTTGTGCAGATAGGTGTACTAGAATTCGACCCCCTCCATTTATACCCCTATTGACAATTGTGTGTTATTTAAAAAAAGTCCTGTAATTTGAGGTGACAATGGAGGAATATCCAACCACTGAGGAATGTTCCTTTCATCTCTTCCTAATCCTCCCTGATGTGATCCTGGCTGTTTATGGTTGAGTGGCTGAGGAGGCGCAAGGTGCCAAGAATTCCAAGAGCTCCGACCCAGCTGCTCCCTAGAGAGCGCTCTGCCACGGCAGAAAGATTTACACGTCGAACGTGTCGATCCCTCAGAGTTAATGAGGCCTACTGTTTGGGCTTCCATTATCAGCCTGCTGCATCCCGAGCCGGACTGTGCAAAAGTCATGCATCATAAAGTTCTAGGCACTGTTTGATACATTGTAGGCAGTAATCAGAGCTCAGCATTTCTCAATGTCTCTGGAAATTAATTCAGTAGAACATTGTGTCTTCTCACCAAATCTACTGTAAATTTTGCATTGTCACCTTTTGTTAAAATTACACCTGCTTCATATATATGCTCTTGAAACCTTGATTGACACATTAATGAGTCAAATTAATGAAAACTACATGCATACAAATTTCGTCGTCAATAATACCAGAAGAGTTGTTTGACAGCATGTGTAATTACTCTTTCATTATGAATACAAAAACATTTTTTCACTCAATCTCCTATTGACAAATGTATTCCTTTATGTAACACAGTAAACCATGGACAAAATTAGTACAAAACCAGACCAGTCGCTAACATTCACCAAGCTCCCAGATGTCACAATTAGGAACATCTCAAAGGTCAGCTCAGATCTCGGCCCGTGTTACAATATTGAAAATCAAATCTACTGTAAAGATCCAGCCGGCCCCAGATCTTAAGGAAGGTCATCCGCGTGTCACTGATTTCTGAAAAAGCTCAGCCGCGCAGCACGAAAAGAGTCAAGTTCAGGTCTCCAGGGTGTCTGCAAAGGACACACACACCTGTGACGGAATTGCGCTGTGAGCCGGGGAAGGGGGATGGGGGATCTGCGGATGATTGGCAGAAAATGTCAGGCACAACACGTCAGCCCCATTCAGACACACAGCAGGCAGATGTCAGAGACTGCATGATAAGGAGGAGGGCAGGCTCCCAAGGAAAAGGAAGTGGCCTCATCAGAGAGTTGTGTCATCCTTCTAAAATCTCTTACAGATTAGCCCTCAACACAGCTCACACCTAAAGTCTTTTGTGCTCAGACTAAGACTAAAGAACTATCTCTTGACCTATCACCCAAACATGTAAAAGTAGCTTTCTTCTAATGTTTGTCTCCTCTTAAACCTTCTGTTATCTTTATTTTCCAAATACAAGGATTAGTCAGGGTCACAGTTTTTTCCACATGCTTGTATTGCACAGAAGGATGTGCACAACCTTCTGGGCTGCACCACCACTGGGGCCTGAGCCAGGGTCAGATATCTCAGAGGGGAGAGGCAGACTCAAGACCATCCACTGCATGTTGATTACAGTGAATATGTTTTGTTTGACCTTGAGACAACGCCTCATCCTGATTTATTGAAGTCAGTTTTTTTTGTGAATTTTTAAGTCAAACCTGGATGCATTTTGTTAAGCAATGCATTCTTGCACTTGTCTCTTTGCATTTGTATAACATAGACCACAGTTGATAGTCATCAATGAGATGGAAATAAATGCAAGAAAGTGAAATGTTTTTCATTAACTTTGTTGTCTTTGTGAATCACAATGTTCCTCTCCTGGTTCTCAGGGCATAGCTCCCATCACCCACCCTGAAGACGAGCTGGAGCGCCTGACCAAGAAGATGCTGTTTGACATGGACAACCCACCATCTGAAGAATATTTTGGTAAGAATGATAGCTCATCTCACGCACTTAGTTAGCAGTAACTTTTTTCACAGAAGACATTTTTACGTGTCACAGTAGTAGGAAGAGCCACAGCAGGTGTAAATGATGAGGGTGATTGAGGGTCCTGATACTGTTTCACAATCATCAATGTCATGACTTTCTGGGACACATGAATACAAAAACAAAACTATTAACACATTTATTTTGTGCATTTCCTACAATGAAAAGTCTAAATGTTTGCTGTAGTCTATTATTGTCAACCACATGATGTCCCATGGCACTTAAACCCAATCCTGTATCTTAAGATTATCATTTTAAGATTTATGTAAGAAGGTAATGTGGCAGGACAGCTAGGGTTACCACATCTGGCATTAACGTTGGCTAGTTTTAGCATCATGCTAGCATGCTTGGATGGATTATTTTTGATGCTGGGTGAGAGGGGATCAGTGTTTGAAGGGTAGAAAGGTGGGTAGGATCATAATTACATAAACCTCGTTGCACATTACTTTTATTTTTTAATCAAGTACATAAAAAAATACTGTGTTACTTTACTAAGAAACATTTCTTGCTAGCAACATAAATTTTAGCATAAAAATATCATTAAAATAAATAAATTCTTACAGCCACTAAGTACGGAGCCCCCAAAGGGTCATGGCAAAAATATATTTGGAGACTACTTTTGTGTTCCTGGCAATATTTTGCGTTGCCTCGCAGTACATTTCTTCTTCCATTCCTTCTGTACCATAGCTGTGTCGCAATGTCACAGTATGGAAGAGCACATTGAATTTTACTCTGAACTGAGCATTACCTATGCTGACATAGTACTACTGCTCAATATGCATGGTTATGTAATTAATCAAACCGGACCATTCACCACGGCGGGTGCTGTGATCATCCCAGATGAGAGGAAAGGGAGCCAGAATAGAAGCCATGCTGGCCCGGCTTGGACTTAAGGCTGCCCCTGGGTATTATCCGGTCTTGACGAAATGGGACTCAGGCTGCCAATTAATGGGAAATCAGAGATTGTTGTGCCCACATCTTTACAGAGACCTGCTCCATCAATTTCCTAGATCCAGCACTCGCTAGGTGGACCGTTTTCTAAGCTGTCAGAGCGCAAGACTCCGGCGTGAAAAGAGGAGGCGGACTCTGTGTTAACATCGGTGATGCTTGGTGCTCCAAACACAGTCGACGTGGACGCTGTTTTCCAAATGTCAGACTTTTTATGCGAAGATGAAAACCATATGATCATCACTATTTTGTTGGTGCTGGTTACATAGCAAATTTAAAAAATACACTGGAGAAATAGCTATTTCCTGGGTTCATATTTGTGTGTGTGTGTGTGTGTGTCTATATATACAGTATTGATATAAAACTGTATATAGGCCTAGTTTTCCAAATTATTTATTTTATGTTACCTTGTTCTAATATACATTTATCTGTTAAGTTCTATATGTGTAGCATGAAGGAAGAACAAACTTTGATTTTGTTGTTCATGTTTGCCTTTTGTGTTGTATGTACATTATGTGATCATATTTTGATCTTTTCAGAATGCACTGCTCATTATCTCACCTAATCTCTTTCAAATTACTTCCAGAATGATAAATAAACTACATTGATACTTGATGATTGATATCCTGAGTACAGTAACTGTAGCCTACTGTTATTAATTTTATCAGCTGCATCACCCCAATTTAACTGGCTCCCCCAAATTTCCTTTTATACATTTTCATATACCCCTAGGCTATAAATAATATCCATCCATCCATCCATCGTCAACCGCTTATCCAGCGTACAGGCCAAGCAATCTTTTGTAGGATGGGACTTGTTTGTCATTCACATTTCCATTACTATAGATCAAGCTTAAGCTTACATATGCTGTAACTCTCTGTGGTAGCAATACTATATCGTCCCAGAGTGATCTATACTTGATGGATATAGATTTCTGTATAATGAATGTAAACCATAAATAAAGTAACATGCCTTCATAGACAGATATGTTCTCAAATCTTCCTGGTACCTTATACATCAATAGATAAATAGAGGAAATATCATAATAAACACAACATGTGACCTCACAAGAAGGCAATTATTTTATGCTTCATTAATTTAAGTGTTAAGTAACAATGAAAAATAGGAAAAGTGGAAAACGTCATCACCATAAATATTGCTTAAAAACCTCCACATTATCATATAGTTACAACAATATCATGCAGCATCAGTGGATACATCTATAAATGGACACAATAAATAGGCATAATGCTTAATGGTCCTGATAACATATGCGCATATTCATACGTATCCAGAACTGTTTAGAGCTGTACAGGGAATCCCTCAAGTGAATCTTAAGTAACAATGGGCAAAAATGTTAGAATCACTAGAAAATGAAAATCAGAGCCTTGAGCTCCTTCAGAGGAACAGCACCAGTCATTGTTAAAGATATGTAGACGACACATGGGTCAAAATTAAGAGGAAGTGCAAACCTTCACAGAACACATCAACTCTGTAGAGCAGATAATAAATAACTAACAGCAAAAGATCAGTCTACTGGGGAGGAACTACAATCTTTAGATTTGGGGAAAGTTATTTGGTTGGTTATGATGCTCTCCACAGTGATTTAACATTTATTGCACAGCATGTTTTGGACATCACCCCCTAAAACCCTGTTAATATGACCTCAGAATTGTTATAGATACGGTTGTTCATGTTTGCCTTTTGTGTGCAACATGAGAAACCTCCTCCCTTCTGAGGTGTATTATCTCTTTTACAAGAGAGAGAGAGCTGTCCGACTTGGCAACTTACAGTAGTAAGCACATAGTCACATGAAAAACAAGTCTACTCTTCCTAGTTTGGTTAAAGAATAATCTACCCTAGTTTCTCTTTACCACGTTGTAACAGGATCACTTTCCTTGTGTATGTTGGTATGTATCACCTCCCTGAATCATACACTTTAGGCTCATAGTCTACCAAACAAAAGTATATAATCATTTCTGGTCCTATATATCCTCTGATGTGTCTTCGACACAGCAACACTCACAGTCACTTCACAGTGTAGCATTCATAGGTGGATGTAGAAAAGTGGCTAAAATTAGCCTGTGAGTCACTGTTGGATTCACGTGTAACACTAACACTAGGAAAACCTTTGCAAGGCACGCGCACACACACACAATTTTTTTTTTTGATATATTGCAAAAGCTAAGACATTAGCACAGGTAGTGTGATCTCATTAGGAACTCTCACTCTGTCACTTTTCACTGTGACATTATATGAAACTAAAAGAAGAAACAAGCAGGCTCCTCATTTAGTCGAGACTAGGTGCCACATTTATGGGGATAAAAGCTGAATAAAACATTGTGGGATACTGGGTTAATAGAATAAAACTGGCATAAGGTTTCCTAGATTAGCCCACCCAGTGACCTACAAAGTTAGTTTTGTATCACAAGAATGTTTTTGGAAAATGTCTTGAGGCTATTGAGAATAGTGCAGGTGTGTACAATACAGGCAAGGTTAACCTAGTATGTCTAGTTTTTGGTGCGTCTTATCCGTTGATTTTCAAATGTGTTTTCAAGTGTAGACACTGCAGCATATCTACCATTCTGGAAAGAAGTCCTCAAGGTAGAATCTCAAAGCTTTCTCACTGTGATCAAAGGATAAAGCATAACTCTTGCTCAGGTTACAATGAGAATGAGAGACAAATGCTTTGGACAGACGAGACATCCTGATTTCAATAAAATTTTATTGTCCAGCAGTATTTTCTACAGTATTTCTCTGCCCTTTTTTTTGCTGAAGCACTTGATATTTAATTTTGTTCTCATTTGAAAACAATGAAAATACAACCAGGATTAAACAAAATACCAATTTAATACTATTTTGCAAAAAATAGGATTCAAACGACAAGGATTCTGTGCATTTATGTTTCATTTCTATTTTTCCTCCCTCTGTACCCTCTGCTGCCAGCGAGTGCCATCCCTCTGCTGGTCTTTCTTCTCTAGCCTTTAATCCCCTTTGCCCTGGAATTAGTTCCCATGCCCATTAGATACCTCACTCAATACATTCAATGGGACTCTGGAGCAGGCTTTATATCAGCACATAATCACACAGCAAACCATGATAACATGTGTAGGTGTATTATAGCTACAGGGATATGTATTTAACTGGTATTAAGGGATATTCGGCTGCACGTTGGTGCGCACTGATGTAAAGACCTTAATTGGTTCACATTAGACATAGGTCAAATGGATCTGCTGGTTTAACCAAAGTGTAGTCATTGTACAGAGGAATGGCTCTTAAAGCCTTGTTGGCCTAATTTTTGGATGAATGCGTATGCAATGCAGACCTGGCATAAACTCTGTGTACTGCTATACCATGCATGCACTTGCCTCTATTTGCCAAGTATAAGGCTGGCTGGCTGAAGGCTGGTAAAACAAGGACATGGGAGTTGGGAAATGGGTCATATGTGAGCTGAGGTAGCCAGAACAAGTTAGGGATAGTGTGTGCATCACCAGCTGACAGCGGCTGGCTGTTCATGGAGTAGAGGGGAGGGGGAGGGTCATCTTGTGGTTAAGCAAGGCGACAGCTGAATTAACAGAGAGATAAAAAGAGGATGAGGGCAGGAGCCCACGACTGAGGTGACTGCAGGGACTCATTAGGAGAGTTCAAGCACAGGCACATGCTGCTCTGAAAATCCACAGAGCCCCCGTCCACCCCCGCTGAATAATGTACATATAGCCACTAAAGTAATGTTAAAATTGACTTTAGTCTGGTGTGTCACTTACTGTATATCCAGGGCTGTGGGAAAATCGGCCCCAGAGCATGAGACTTTTGTAATTACAAAGAATCGAATGGCTCACAAGTGTCTTCTTTTTGGTGGGGTACAGAGGGATGAAACCCTAAGGCTAGTAATTAACAAGATTAATCAAAGTGGGGCTGTGATCGCTAGCACGCTACTGGACTGGATCATTGTCTTCCTATAGCAAAGTTTTATTGGTGTCACTAATGTCTTT